GGGCTGTAGCTTCCGTTTGTGTGCTACTTTCTATTTTGTGCAAGCCTCTTCTTCATGTAGCACCCACACCCAAACTCTTGCTGCCTGAGTTCTAGACTCAGTTTCAATTTGCCGCTGTGCCCCAGGTAGCTCCTTTAAGTGTGTTAGGTTCTGTTAACAACCAGCTTCCCATGTATTCTTTATCCCCGAGACCCTATTTCCAGAGAACCGTGCAGCGAAGTATCGCATTGTCCATGTTAGAATCCTCACATTCACGTCTCTGCACAACGCTCTCAGCATCAGCAGCAGTGTCATCGACATTCTGGGCCCCAGTCATGAGAAGGTCTTGGTGTCACTACAGAAGTCTTTACTGGTGCCACACCCACCGTCTAACATTCTGCATTTCTCCCCAACATATGCAAATAATCTGTATGAGTCAATCACTCTTCCATCACGGTAAACAGAAATAGTCATACTGTCATAGCGACACAATACAAATCAGGTCTCTGTGTATCTCTGTGTGGTGTTTGTTCATGTTCCTCTAGTGTGTATATGTGGGTGTATGTATGTGTGGAGGCCAGAGGTCATGACGTTGCATGTTGTCTTCAATTGTCCTCCACCTTATTCTTTGAGACAGGATCTCCAGCAGAGCCTAGAAATTACTGATGCAGCTGTGCTGCCTGCCTATCGAGTTCCAGGGATCTACCCCTAGCTCTGTGGTTATAGATGTGCACCACTGTGTTTGGCTTTTACAGGACTAATGAGATGTGGATACTATAAAAATGTACTATGTACATGTGTGAAAAATGTCATAATGAAGTCTGTCATAATGCATAATTAATGTATGCCAATACAATTTAAGAAATTATGTATTTTTATTGATAGTCTGCAGTGGGCAAGGCTCTGAAAAAAATGACAATGTACTGGACAATGAAAATCAACTGTAAAACTATAATATGTAAACTATGTTCATAAAGTGCTGCAATCACGTAGAAAAATATGCATAGAAACCTCAAAATGGATGACAAAGACTGTAAGAGATGTGTCTAAGCTGCTATGTGAAATAAAAGCTAAAGATGGTGGCCAATTGTCCATATAAATAAAATTCTATTCTGATTTTGTGTATAGGGTTTAACATTGCATTAGCTGTAATTACAGGACCCCGCAGAGAGATGAAAAGAGAAAGGAAAGTCCTTTTTCTTTAGTAAATCAAATATCCATTATCTTCAGATTTATGTTTAAGAACCCACTGCTCCATGTAGCACCCTTCTCCTGATTTCTAGGTTTTATGATCATGCCAGTATTAGGTCTGGGTTAAAATACTGTGTTCCTGGATGAAAAACTGATACTTCTTGTCACCTCTCTTCAAAATAAAGTGTACTTTTCTCAATCAGCCACAGATTTTAAGAAAATGATGTGCTAAGTTCATACTCTTATGTGGGGCTAACTGGTACTTAATCATTATCAGAAACACTTGTAAAGGAAGCATTATGTAAAACATGTTCCTCATGCTAAGAACTTTCATGTTACATTAAGAAGATTTCTGTATCAGGAGTGTTATCAGTAAGGAAAATTATTCATGCTGGAGAAATTTGTTGGTCAATTCCTCTTCTTCACGAGTTTATTATTCATCAATTTTCTCTTACTGAGACCACAAACTATGTGGTTCTTTTCTTCCTACTAATAACTATCAATATTTCTGAACATTGGATGAGGGTCACAACTTACCATTTGTGATTTGAGTTTTGTCACTGTACTCATATCTACTGTCACACAGTCCATCATCCTGCTGATGAAAGTTTTTTACTACATAGAATTTCATGACTCAGCGCTGAGTGTTGTGAACATAGTACAACTTATAAAACTGTTGTGGGGAAATGAAGAAATGATGAGTGGTCAGGAAGAGAACTAACTTACCCACTGTAATAAGCTTTGAAGTTAGAGCCTAGGTTAAAGTTGTCCGACTTTTGTTATTTAGGTGCTTGGGTGTCCGATGAGGTGTGGTGATGGGGGGGGGGTGTTGTCAGTGCTTTGTTATAAGTCAAGTATTCTCCCCGTGAAAAGGTCATGGAATGATTGGATAGGCAAATGTTGAACTATTCTAACCACAGGGGTTGGGGGGAGGTATCTCCCTACACAGGGAAACAGGAAGCAATGTTAACAAGGAAAGGGAAAAACATTGGGATACTGTCTGCGTATGAACTCAGCCTGGAATTGTTCTTCCAGGGTAGGTCATTGCTACTCCCTCACAATATAAGTGACAAAGAGCAGAGCATGAATGCAGGAAACAACAAATGAAAAAACAACAATAAAACAAACAACAGTAATAAAAACAAAACCGAGAGAGAAGCTTTGTCATAGAGAAATACTGGGCTGGCAAGAGAACTCAGAGCAGAGTGCAATCTCTTGCCCTGCTACTTGTTGCCTGCATTTTTAACTCTGTGGTGCCTTTTTTAAACTCCCCTTGATCAATGACATTATAGCTATTTTAAAACAATATCTACAATTGCTTTATAATTGTGATTAATTCTTCTGTTTAAAGGGGACAGTCCATATCAATAACTCCAAATTTAGCTTTCATACAACATTTCCTATCATGGGGTGCCTTATATAGACATTTATGAACTTACTTGGTTTCTAAAGAATGACTTCATGCTCACTGGGAGGAAAGGAACCACATTGCTGTAACACGAGAAATGAAATGACCCAGAGACTGATATTGGGGTTCAAGCTTCAAGCTGAAGAGCAGAACAGCAACATAGTAGACCACTAGCTTTTACCACTACCTCAGGACAAATGGGCTGATCCTGCAGCCTCTCCTCAGTGTGGCTCCAGAATCCTGAGTCTTCCATATCTTCCTTTCTCCAATGGTGAATGAATGCCAGATACTGAGACCGTGCTCCTGTTTTATATACCTCCCTGATGCTGGGCTTAAAGGTGTAGATCGCAGGTGCTGAGACTATCTTAGTGTAGCTGTTTCTCATAAGGAGTGGATCAATCCTGTGTTGATGTGAGTGGTCTTGAATTTACAGAGATCTGTCTACCTGTTAATCCTAGGATTAAAGGAGTGAACAGCTACCTCCTAGATTCTGGCTTTGGGGATTAAAGGTGTGTACCCAGCTTCTATGGCTTGAGACTGACTTTGCTTTCTGAATCCTCAAGCAAGCTTTAACAAATCTTAAGTAATATATCACCACACATTGCATTTCCACATTGGTCACTGTCAGAAACCTAATGTCAGTCCACATAGAGTGCCCTTAATGAGGAGACTTAGTAACCAGTGAGCCTTAAATGTTCTCATCACACAGGTGAGCTCTATGCTTTGGGTCACATATGGCAAACCATTAAGATAAATTTATTCAAGAAACAGGTAAGAGTCGACTTCATATAGTCAGATTCTTGATGAGCATTTTTTGAGGTCTGTCAAAGAATCTTTCAAGGTTAGAAGGCAAGAGATTGTTAACTATTGCACTCGAGGGGATGGAGAGGGTGGCAAACATTTCATATAGGATGAAGGAAGGAGAGGGAGTGGGGGAAGAGGAAGAGCAGCAGGAGGAGGAGAGAGTGGTAGCAGAGACAGCATGAGAATTCTCTGAGTGTCTGGACTATCAGGATGAAAACACCCCTGCTCCTAGCTACAATCATTCCTGTATGTGGACAGCAAAGTTGTCAAAGCAGACGACACTCGTCCACCCATGCATGTCTGTAAATATATATACTCATCCATTCATGCCCCAAGTTTATATTGACTTCCTCCCTGAGTTCCGAGTTTTCAAGACACAGGGAGAAAAAAAAAAAAAAACAAAAACAAACAAACAAAAATACCCAAACAGACAAACAAAGAACAACTGCCTTCATCTGCAAAATGTTAGGATCACAGGAGGTCAGCTGACCACGAGCTGCTTCGAGTCAGTCAAAGGGGTCAAGATGGAGACAGGTGCTGAGCTGGTTCGTTCAGGTATTTTTTTCATCTCTCTCCTACTGACCCTCTTTCTTGGCATTTCTACCAGTTATTGTTCCACGGAAGGGCTGAAATGCCAGTCAAAGAGTGATTGCTGAGGTCGCCATATGTGCTCAGCATCAGGATTGTCAAGTGTGACTGAACTCAGAGAAGTGATTCTATAGCGGCAGTTACACAGAATGGTAAATAACAAGCCTGAGTCTCAGCTGCCAGTTCTCAGAATCCCTCCACAAGACAGAAGGCATCGTGTATTGCCACTAGATGGCGCCAACTATTTTCATTTTTTTAAGGAAGGGGGAAAAAAAATAACAGATCTTTTCTATGTAACAGCCGAGCCACATTCAAGGAAAAGATTGTTACTTACCATCACAAAACTATTAACTTAATAATTATTTAATCATTAATAAGTCAAAATCACTACAACACTCCTGTGAGGTACATTTGGGCCAATTGAAAAAATTACTAAAGCCTGTTTTGCAATATGTAAGTAAGAACAGAAGGAGTTTACATATCATAATACAAGTAATACATATCATAATACAGGTGTACATATCATAATACAAGTAATATATATATATATACACATATATATGTGTGTGTATGTGTGTATATGTGTGTGTACATATATATGTCACAATACAAGTATGAAGATAGTAGGATTAAAATAACTGATAAAAGTGAATTTGGAATCAACATTACACTTATCTTAATATTTTGGCAAAATTAGTTTTAACAAATAGAGTCTGTGTTTTTAGGAGAACTGTCTCAACGTGCAACTAAAAAGTTGTACTTTCAAATATGTTTTTAAACTTTTCTTAGCTCATTGCAATTATATACAAAAACTATTGTAAATTATAAAATGGGATAGTAATCATGGAATTAACACATGTGTTTAGTTATAGTGTACATAGAGAATGGAAATCACAGGTCTATCGCATGAACACAATGACTTTTAAAATCTAAGTACCCCTGTCCCATCAGCCCCCTAATTGATAACATGCTGCTTATTTGACCATCGTTATGTTTCTTTCATTTTCAAACATTTTCAAGCAGGACTCACCCGGATGTCGGCCAGGGTGTTCTTTCTCATTTCCACAAGCCTTCGGAACCTCCTGTCCTCGACAAAGATTCTCTCCTCACAGTGTTGCTTCTCTTGCATGAGATGGTCAAACACACCTTGAGCATGTTCCTTGTCGAATCTCAGCTTGATGAACTCATCCCTGCGTGGAAAGAGTTTCACACGCATACTCAGTGCTAACAAAAGGAAAAATACTGGGCTCTTAGAGGCATCAGAAGTAAGCAATAGCTAATGCTGGCTTAGCTGTGATCAGAACACAGAAGAGTCACAAAAGAGTAAGTAGCATGTTCACGCAGCCTTTACTCAGGAAGTCTGTTATAGCAATGACACAGCACCTGATAAAAGTCCGAATAAGATTTGTAGTATAACTTGTATGATTTTAAGTTTATGTCTTTCAGATCTTTTAATTATTATTATTATTATTTTTTGTATGAATGCTGTCTGCAAATATGCCTGCATGACAGAAGAAAGCATCAGATCCCATTATAGAAGGTTGCAAGCAGCCATGTGGTTTCTGGGAATTGAACTCGGGTCCTTAGGAAGAGCAGCCAGTGCAAGTGTTCTTAACCACTGAGCTATCTCTCTAGTCCCAGCCAGTGTTTAATAATTTAAACAATGTTGTATTTCCTTCCTTCCTTCCCTTCCCTTCCTTTCTTCTTTCCCCCTTTCCTTTATTTTTTATTTTTTATTTTTTTTTGGAAACAGGGTTTCTCTGTGGTATACTCCTGCCTGTAACTTGCTTTGTAGGTCAGGCTGGCCTTGAACTCACAGAGATCTACCTACTTCTGCCTCCCAGTGCTTGGGTCAAAGGCATGAGCTGCCACCCCCACCCAGCTTTTCCTTGTTTTCTTACATGATATGACAGAGTTTAGTTAGTGTTTTGCAGATAACAGCTCTATGACCATGATCATTAAAGTCCTCCGGGTGGACTGACTTGCCTCCAGTAGAGAGTATCTGGTTCTAGACAACATATAGTTCTTTGTTTGATTGTTGGTATTTTCATTCTTGTATGTACACGTGCATGTGTGTGCTCATGAGTCTTTGGAGTGTGATGTACATGGATGTGAATGCAGGCTTTTGTGTGGAGGGGCAGGGGCTCTCCTGTAGTAGGGCTGGGAATTGAACTTGGGCTTTCAGATATGTACAGCAAGTGTTTTTAGCCATTGAGCCATCTTCCAGGCCCACTTCTATTTTTTAACACATTATCCACCATGTGCTGACTGTACTAATATTTTTTGTGGGCTATTGAGCTACCATTCCTAATGTGATCAGTCATTTACCCTCCAATCGTTATGGAAGCCTAATATATAATATTTAGCAAAATAGGAAACAGAGGCGACACAAATACAGGAGCAGATCACAAGATCCACATGAGGATACATGGTCACCCCATAGGCTTGAGAGCACCAGCATCCAGGAGCCAAGGACCCTTTTCACTGAGAGCATCCCTGATTGATGAGGGGGGCTCACTGAAGAAGGGAGATATGAATAGATGATAGATTCTATAGAATATCTGAATACTTCCCTCAGAGCTGTAATCTACAAGGATAGGGGAAAACCATAAATTATTAAACAAGGCTCAAAATTACTAACTGTGTTGAATTAATGAAAGTATTATTAATACCAGAGAAAAAAGATTACACAAGTGGAAAAGGTGAAATAGCCCTAGTTATTCAAATAAGAATAAACTCAAGAGAGAAGTAAGGGATGAAAGCAACTTATCATTATCCTCATATAAATAAATATGGTTAAATACCATATTTTATCACGTATTTCAGGTAAAATTCTTAGGGAAACTATGAACAATCTTAATAAATTTTAAATATGGAAATCTGATTTTATTAATCATATAGTAAATATGATTATTGTTTTGACAAAACTTACTTCAACTTTTCAAGTTTGCCTTCATAATTTATCTTTTCCAGTTTCATTATTTTTATCTCTTCACCCAGTTCCTTGCTTTTTTCATTGAGAATAACTGTTTTGCTTCTAGTTGTCTCTATTTCTTGATGAATTAGCGAACCTTTCCCCTGAAATTTAAAGAAAGAAAAATAAAAAGCTTTAGCTGGGCGTTGGTGGCCTTTAATCCTAGCACTCGGGAGGAAGAGGCAGGAAGATGTCTATGCCAGCCTGGTCTACAGAGCTAGTTCCAGGGGAGGTTCCAAAGCTACAGCTGTCTTGAAAAACAAAAACCAAAACCCAAAAAACAGAAGAGGAAAAAAAGAAGTTTCAAGTAAATGTTCGTTTTAACACTTAGATTTTCAAATCTTTTCAACTCATAAACATTTACACAAGCTACGCTGCAGGCGACAGTGTAAAGGACAGAGTTATAAGCCGTAGCGACTATAAACGAATAGCGACCCCTTAGCATGGTAGGCTCTTCTCGTGACCAGACGAGCTTCCTGGAAGGCTAGAATCTCGTTTTTGCTCTTCCACCCATCTGCACACCAGCCTGTGATCATGCCACACATCCTAAAACACACACACTTGCTGTGCCAAGACACACGCGCATAGCTCTGGTTTTCAGAGGCACAGGACGACACAAAACAGCATTTCGTGAGCACAATTTCCTGTTGTGATTCTGGGCAATTCCTTCTAGGCTGAGGTGTCTTTTAGGTGTGTGGACCTCTGGCAAAAGAAAGTGGAGTATTAACCATGTTACTGGCTAAAGCTAACTAAAGTCAAGTCTTTGTATGACCAAAATAAGAAAAGTGGACAAGTAATGGGTTTAGTTATCTAAATGAAGATGCTCTCTAAAACCAACATTTTTTTAGTAGATGACTGAAAAATTTTAAGACTGCTCATTTAATTGCATCCTAATCTTTTAAAATAATAACCTGTATTACCAAATCATACATCATTATTATAATAATTTATGTTAATGATTCAAATCATATATCTGAATATACTTTCTAGTCAATAGCATATTTCTGATAAATGATGATTTTTGCAAATTAAAAAGATTCATATTATTAGATTTAGACCTGAAACCTTTTGTAATCCTTCCCCTATCTTCCTTTCCTTTCTCTGCCTCCCCTCCTTTTCCTCTTCCTCCTGTTTTAGGTCACTCACATTTACTATGTAACAAAATGTAATGGAATGGGTAATTTATAAACAGTGGACATTTATTCCTTTCATTACAATGAGCTGAGAGGTTCAGGAACAAAGGGCAAGCAGATTTGGCATCTGTGGAGGGCTCGCTCCTTTTCAAAGATGCTATATATTCTTGCTGTTTACTCACATGGGGAAAGGAGTGAGCTTGGTCCCCTTGGGTGGTTTTGTAAAGGCATTGATCCCAGCCATGAGGGTGGAGCCCTCGTGGCTTCCCCAGCTCACTGAGGGGGTAGCGAAGTTCTTCTTTCTAACAGGCCTTTCTATCCTACCCCCCCTTTTTTTTTTTTGCTAAGTTTTTAATTTAATTTTGAAACAAGCTTGTTTTACATGTCAATCTCAGTTCCCTCCCCCTCCCCTCCTACCCTGTTCCCCCCACCAACCCCCACCCCATCCTCTTTCAGATCCCCAGGGAGGGTTAGGCCTTCCATGGGGACTCTTCAAAGTCTGTCATATCATTTGGAGCAGGGCCTAGGCCCTCCCACGTGTGTCTAGGCTGACAGAGTATCCCTCTATGTGGGATGGGCTCCCAAAGTCCATTCGCATACTTGGGATAAATACTGACCCCCCTTACCAGATGCCCCATAGACTGCCCAGTTCTCCTAACTAACATCCACATTCATGGAGTCTGGGTTGGCCTTATGCTTGTTTCCAGCTATTAGAGTCCATGAGCTCCCCCTTGTTCAGGTCAGCAATTTTGTAACCTTAACTCTAGAGACAAATTCAGTGAGAAATATGTGACTTTTTTTCTAGCGTGTTAGAAAAAGAGAGGTGAAGTCTAGAAAAGCTATTGCACATTTGGTGGGGGAGATGTGGGACAATAAAGGGGCAGATGGACAGATGCTGCAGGAGGGAGACAGTCCATCTCCTGATGCCTTTCTTTCTATTATTTTATTTGAAAATGAGACCAAATTTAAAAATTAACATAAACATTAACTAAAAGATACTAACTGTGCATATTTTGGGGGCAAATGTAGCATTTTATATTAGCGTTTAAGATGGCACGGTTAAATCTAAGAAATGACCATTTTCACCACATTACCATCCATTTTTGTTGATGAGATACTAGAAACTGACTCTGAACTATTTTCAAATGTGTATCATTATTAGGTATAGTTATTCTTCTGTGAACTAGATCTCACAATCTTATTCTTTTTGTGTAACTGAAATGGTGCTCCCTACACAAACATTGTACACACAGAATACTGATAAATACAATAAAGTGATTTATGTCTTTTTAAATGAGAAGGACAAATGAGGCTGGGGTTAAAACTACAGGTGATTTAAAAACAACACTGTCAAATATATTGAATGCCTTTGGGAGGTGGTTTAATTAATTAATTTATTAACGTAGACTCTCATGAAAATCAAGCTAGACTCAAACTAGTGTGTTAAAGGATGCCCTTGGACACTGAGCTTTTTGCATCACCAATTGTGGTTTATGAGATGCTGGGACTGGACCTAGGAACTCATGCTTTCTAAGCAAACACTATTAACTGAGACACACCCCTTCCCCCTAGATAATCACAGGGAGTTGGTTAGACTTGTAACACTCAAGTCAGGTTCTGTTAAACCAGATGTGTGAGATTTAGAGAGGGTAGAGTGTAGCTAATTCTCCAAGCTCATGAAGGTAGACACCTGTCATCACATTGCCAGCTTCCAGGCTCCTCAGATTCTCTGAAGTCCACTTGTGGGTGACACTGGGCACTTGCCACTGAGTGCTTATCACTCAGGGCATTCTCCTTTCCATTTCAAGGCTTGATGGGATCTGCATCACCTCAGTCAGGTTTCCTGCTCACTGCTATGTTGGTTTTTTCTGTGAAGAATGGCATTCTTTTTCTTCATTTTAAGTTTAAATTAAAACACTTATTTTACATACAAATCCCTGTTCCCTTTCCCTCCTGTCCTCTCACTACTCCCCATTATCCCCCATCACACCCCCATCCACTCCCCAGAGAAGGTGAGGCCTCCCATGCAGGGTCGTCAAAGTCTGTCACATCATTTGGGGCAGGACCAAGCCCCACCCCTCTATCTGGGCTGAGAGAGTATCCCTCCATAAGGAATGGGCTCCCAAAGCTCATTCATGTACTAGGGATAAATACTGGTTCCACTGCCAGAGGCCCCATAGACTGCCCAGTCCTCTCAAGTGACACTCATGTTCAGGGTGTCTGGTTTCAGTCCTATTCAGGTTCCCTAGCTGTCAGTCTGGGGTAAATGAGTTCCCACTTGTTCAGGTCAGCTGATTCTGTGGGTTTCCTGAGCTTGGTCTTGACCCCTTTGCTCATCACTCCTCCCTCTCTACAACTGGATTCCAGAAGTTTGGCTCTATTCTTCCTTTTGCTTCATTGCATCCTGGAAGCTCCAAACAGACATCAATGGCTGAGTTTAGAAAGCAGCAGATTCTGGCACAAACCCAGCATGAGTTTCAGGTTGAGTTGGGATGTGTTCCTGCTAAAGTGTGTGCCTTACAGACTAGAGCAATGGGGAAGACAGGCTATATGGATGCAGTGTGTGTGTGTGTGTGTGTGTGTGTGTGTGTGTGTGTGTGTGTGTGTGTGTGTGATGTGTATTTAGAGCCCATTTAGTGAGAGCAATTCAAAACACAAGGGCATCCCCTTACAACTATATTTGCCTGATGAGTTTTCATTGATGTATTTATAAATTGAAAACTGAATTCTTCACCTCAGTTTTTGTGAGTTCCTTACGGCTTTTCTTGTTCCTTCTTCGTAATTTCTTCTTTGCTGCGTCTACTTTCTTTTTAACAAGATCCTTCTTCTCCCGTATCTCTTGAAGCATCTAGAAGACACTCAGATTTTAAGTCACATAACATCTCCAATTCACTTACCCTGCTTTACATAAACACTACTATGTAGTGATTATCTTAAAAATCACAATGTTTATCTTCACATGAAAGGCAAGGTTCATTGCCTATATGTTCTAAACTACGGCACCTCTAATCTCAATATTATGTCTTGGGTAGCCTAATCTAATAAATAAGTAAAAAGGATGAACAAAATAGAAATTATAATATTCCAACTAAAATTGAAAATGCACAGAAGTTTATTCTTCCACAGAATTCATGCTAAATGGTTAGTTCTTATAATTTATTAGCTATTAAAACAAAGTAAGAAATGAGTGATAAGCAACAAGAATATATAAATCCAGACCAATATAATATGAAGGGAAACAAAAGTCATTAATCCTTGGTAAGATTCATTATACTCAGACAATGACATTGAGATGCTTGTTATAATTAATAAATCCCAAATCATTAATGTAAAAAAGAGTCATTATTAAAACCAGTTAACCTTCTAGGTTGAGCATTTGTTATGTATTCGTCCTGTGTGTAGGGATCCCATTTAGAAGTCTCCACTGGATTAGCCTGGCTAGACTCAAGATTTCTGTAGATTATAATACAAGGAAACCCTTTCTGGCCTATTTCATAGGGAACTTTGAAAGTCCAAATAAATATTTTTAACAGTAGTACTTTGTAACTCACATTTTAAAAACAAAGACATTTTGGAAATTATAAATAACAAAGGTCCAAATTTACACCATCATTCTCAAAAGAATAATAGAAAAACAACCCACAGTATTCCCAATTCCCCCCAAATATATGTGTGTCCTCTTTGCAGGGAAAGACAAGAATATATCGCTCCTGCCACACCCTCTACTTCTCTGAAAGATAAATGATAGGATGTACACATATTTTTTCTATGCTTTCCCCCCTTTGGGAAGGGCCAATAATATCCGTTACTGACAGAAACTTGTAGTTTTGAAAATATTTTACTCACATTTGCCTTATTTTTCACCCTAGCTGTCTTAACTTTTACATGCACCAAAAACTTACCTGGAAAACATCAAGATGCCTCATATTTTATATTCAAATCAACATAGTTTTTAGTATCCCATTAAGAAGTAGTGGAGATTGAATTGAGTGATCAGTGCTGGGCAATCTCGCCAGATAAGCCACTAGTAAGATAGATTATAGAGCTGAAGGGCTCTTCAGTGGATCAATGGTGTGGTCATGAAAGAGTAACTTGGAGGGTTTGTACTTTTCCTTTAAGAAATCACACTTTTCTACATCATATCTTCACACACATTACTTAGTAACTTAAATATACCTGTAAGTAAATTATTAGTTATATGTCAGTGGTTATGCGGTGAATTATTGTCGATGCTTACAATGGAATGTTCTTGGTGGAGAACTCGGATTCTTACAGCGTCTGCTTCTATCTGGCGCAGTGGCATTTCTATTTCTGTCAGAGCCAAAATGTACAGTGCTTTCCTTCTCATATATTCCTGCATTTCTTGGAACTGAGTTTCTTCAATGGAATACAACCTTTTCTGCAGGCCAAGATTGCAAATCAGTCATTTGGTTGTTAATCACACATTTATTAATACCAATTCAGTGCTATGGTTTGAAAATCAGACACTACAACCCCTCATGGAAAAGCAAGGTTGAGACTACAGTATTTAAAAGAGCATGTAGTGATTGAACAAATTCTTGAGAGAAAAAAAAAAAAAAAAAAAACAACAGATAGTCAACAAAGATCAAACATTCTCAAGCCCTCATTGGCACGAGAGTGCATGCTGTCAACACACACTTGATGTATCTCATTCTTGCAATGTAAGACTAAACTGACCAATAAGTGGGAAGATTGGGCAAAAATTATTTGCCTAACTGTGGAAATATTGAGCAAATGTCTATAAAAAGCACTCCCAAAAGAGTAAGAATACCTATAAAAAAGCTCAGAAGATACCCTCAAACTTGTCTTCGCTTTATAGAGTTATATTAAGGATGCTGAGAAGTGCACATCACATGAACTTGGACTTCTTTTTGCCTTGTGATTTTAATTTTCCTATCACAACAATCCCAACTTCAAAATTCCTGCTTTTAAAGGGAAACATTCTGGGATAGATCAGAGTATCAAAGCTTAAGCAAGATTGAAAAACTGAATTATCATGGCTAGTTATCATGCTCCCATTTATTTGAAAGCCTTTATGTAGAAATACCATAGCCCATGCCCCCCACCACCCAGGGTTAAATAAAGGAATCCCAGTAAGAGACAGTAAAAGTAAAGAAAATGTAACATCATCAGAAAGCAAACTAAAGAATTAGACAGTTAGGAATTAGGGCCTACTGCCCTTTCACTAGACTGGCAGAAATTCCCATTAAGCCACAAAATGAGATATGTGCATGGGAGGTCAGTTTCTTTATGCATGATCAGACTTTCTAGTTGTACACAGAGGCCAACTGTCATCAGCTAAGGAGAGAAAAGTGCTGGCTTGCAAACCGAGCAGTGACAAAAGATGCCTCATTACAGGCAAATTTAAAATGCTAAGTAAAATGCAAATTAAGGGAAGAAGGAAAGAAGAAACCCACTTGGTTTTACCTGAATCTCAATCCCCACAGCCATTTCACCTCGAGTGAGCTTCTTCAGGAACTCCTCTCTGGCCTGTGTGTCACAAAAGTTGTCAAACAGGAGACTTTATTCACAGAATATTTAGGGATAAGTTTTAACAGCAGTTACTAATAAGAGATACAGTTCACTTGTGCCAGAATAAAGAGCGGAAACAGTCACTAGGATTTGCATATTACAATTATTTTTAAGGGACTTAGTATTATTTGAGGTTTTGGTTTCCTCTAGATTGTATTTTACAGTCCTGAACTTAAAAGAAAAAAAAAAAATCAAAAAGTAAAATCTAGAATGTCCTTGGCTTACTGCCCCTCCCCCAGAAAATGTGCTCCTTTTAGTATTACTCTGCAGAACACAAAGTGTGGAAAGTGGGATAGATGTAATCAAGTGTGAAGCTTGCACAGTGTCGTTAGAGTCTCAGTTTGACTAGAGAAATTTCTTCATTTTTTTCAAAACAAAACAAAACAAAACAAAACAAAACCAAAACCTAAGTCATTCAAAAGGGGAAGCAGCTCTCCTTTGCTCCCTGGATAATGGTCTTAATTACTGGGTATGGCTTTAAAATGACACAAACCAGCATTGGAAGTCACTCGCCAATCCCTTCTGCCTTGTGATTATCCTTGAGTCCTGCATCTGAGAGAGGTCTGAGAGAGGAGTTGGTCTACCTTCAGACTGCCCCCAGATTCAAAAGAGATACACAAGTTTGCAAAGAGAAATCACACAGATTCTTCAGATTTGTTTTTTTTTTTTTGTTTGTTTGTTTTGTTTGTTTCTTTGTTTGTTTTGGGGGGGCAGGCAACTAGCTCTGTAGACCAGGTTGGTCTGGAACTCACAGAGATCCACCTGCCTCTGCCTTCCTAGTGCTGGGATTAAAGGTGTGTGCCACCAACAACCAACCACACATATTCTTAAAGGTTTGAGATTTCCCTACTATGATGCTGACTCTATGGTTGTATCTCCAGATCTACAGAAACAATAAAGAGAAGCAAGCATACAAGTTCATCTTCCAACTGAAGCAACTACCAGAGTAGGTTTGTCTTTTCTTCTTCTTCTCCTTCTCCTCCTTCTCCTTCTCCTTCTCCTCCTTCTCCTTCTCCTCCTTCTCCTCCTTCTCCTCCTCCTTCTTTTTCTTCTTCTTCAAACAATTAGTAAAGTACCTTAAGAGTGCTTTTAAAGCACTGGCTGTAATGTGGATGGATTATTTTACTGTTTTTTTCCTTAAAATTCATTTGTTTTTCAACATTTGTTTTTAGGTTTTCAGTTCCTGAGAGAATAAACCAGTGTTTACTGTGAATTTAAGCATCTTCATTCAGATGAGTTAATATTTTTTAAAAAGCTTATGGTTGCAAAGGATAAAGATTAGGCAGTGTATGAGAAATGTTAAGGTAGACAAGGAGTTGATGCCAGCAGAGTAAACACAGTTGTCCTGAAGAGGGGGTGCCAGGGACATAGATCAGTGAGCAAAAATGGCTGCATGTAAGAATGAGGACCTGAGATCAGCTCCTGGGCACAGGTAAAACATTAGGCAATGTGGTGCATGCTTGCAATCCCAGTGATGGGGAGGTGGAGACAGGTAGATCCCTGCCACTTGGTGGCCAGCCACTCTAGCCTACATGGTGAACCCCAAGTCTGTGAGAGGTGCCATCTCCTAAGAAGAGCAACCTAGGCTTCTACATATACACATGCACACTCACACGAACCTGCAAAACCATGAATGTACATGTGAAAAGAAAAAATTAAAGAAGGAAAGACACACCACCATTTGAAATAATTGTTATCTTGTATGAAATGTGCACACCCTTGATGGGGGATGTCCTTCTGTATATATATTTCTCTTATTTGTTGTTGAATAAAACACTGTTTGGCCAATAGAGGCAGGAAGATAGGTGGGACTAGGAGGCAAGGAGAATTTTGGGAAAGATAGGCAGAGAAGAACCAAAAGGAGATGCCTTGTAGTGGCCAGGAAGTCAGGATGTGCTAGGCATTCTCTGGTAAGATAAAGCCATGTAGAAACACATAGATTAGTAGTTATGAGTTAATAATTAAGACAGAGCTAGCCAATAAGATGCCTTAGCCATCAACCAACAGTTTAATAATATAAGTCTTTGTGTGCTTTTGGGACAAAGGGGCCGTGGAACCTGCCAGGACAAGAAAACCCTCCAGCAACACACCCTATTTCCAGTGGAGGAATCCACAGTCAAGCAAGTTTCTTTTCAGAGTCTAAGAGGGATTTCCCCAAGCTTTCTTTCATGGTTCCAACCTCCGTTGTCTAGACTAGTCTTGCACTGGAAGAGCACCTAGGCCTGACAAGGCAGTGGAGCTATCACTTTCCCAGACTCAAGACTGTAAGGGTGCTTCCAACCACATTGCCTAATGGTTTTGTGGGCCATCATTCTCGTCACCAATCCCCCCAAACAACAACAACAAAACAAAACAAAACAAAAAAACAAAACAAAACAAAAAAACCCCTGGACCACAGGGCCCCTCACAACAACCTAGAGGCTGTATGCTTCCTACAGGGACTGCCACTGTCCTTTAAAATACCCTATCGGGCACAAAAGACAAATGAGACAAGAGGATCCTCTGGTAATCAGGCTATGGGTGTCACAAAAGAATGGGATGACTTCTCTTGACATCTTAGATTTCCAGGGTGTATTCCTGAAGACTGACTGTGGGTTGCAGGTCAGTGTAAGGGACACTGAGAAGTTGTTTACACCAAACCCTGGGAACACAGAGGAATGAGGCAGAACTGGGCAGGGAGAGAGACAGGCCCAACTGTGATACAGTTCCTACACTTTCTCAACCAACACTCTACAGAGCCAAGGAGCAAGCATGGGCCTTCAGTTTTGTCCCAGGTTTGACTAAGGTTCCATGATGGACCTTTGGAATATCAGCCCCAGGTCTAAGCTGTACAAGGAAGAAGGGTGTCTTCAAGCAAAGAGAGGAATCTAGGTAGTTTTATCCAATAAACAAGACAGAGAAATAGTGCATGAGGCTATTTTACTGGAGTTAGAGATGGCTAAAATAGGAACATGTCTACTGTATGTGCTCATCTAATGCTAATTTTATAAATAAATATACAAAATAGCTACTTGTACCTGGTTTTGTTTCCTTGTATTTTATATCAGAAAATTAAGACAAATACTTAAATTGTCCAAATACAAAGGTAGCAGCTTTCCTGTCCAAGTGCTTTTCCCATAGCTGGTGGGATCAAAATGCTAATTCATACAGTTTGATGCATCTCAGGGACCATGGTTAATGGTCTGGACTCCTAATGATTTCTAGATTCTTAGGACTGTTCAAAATGATAGGAAGGTATCATGTAGAGTGGCCAGTTCTCTCTTGGCCTTCTCTTTCAGAGGACAGCCTTGTAAGGCTCTCTAAGCAGCAATCCTGCGCTTCTGGAGCCTACGTTAGAGGGTGATGAGAGCTGGAACTGAAACTTTGGGTGAAGAGGTGTCAGTCTGCTAGTAACCCCACAGTGGGCCATGAAATGAAATACACATCAAGGTTAGGAGCTCTTCCCATGAATTATGCAGCTGCTGAGAACAGAACCAGGAAGAAATGATCACAAATGACTAAGAGGCTGAATTAACACAAGGTCAGCATGTGGGCTGTTCCCTCAAACTATGATTGCAACATTACTGGAAAGGCTCAAAGGCAGAAGCTGGGGGATGACAAAGAGCCACAGGAGTTGTGAAATGCTTTGCTGTTTTAACATTTATTGGGTACCAGTTTTGAGGATGAGCTGTATCGTACTACTTTACATGTATTTTATGCCTCAAGTCCTGGCTTAATTGTGTGGCTGGAAGTTCACTGAAACTTGTGTATACTGGAACTCTGTAGGGCAGTGATTCTCAACCTTCATAATGTTGTGACTCTTTAATACATTTCTTTATGTTGTGGTGACCCCCAACCATAAAATTGTCATTGCTACCTTATAACTGTAATTTTGATAATGTTATGAATTGTAATATCTGTTACACAGGCTATCTGATATGTGATTAATGTGGGTCATTGTGACCCACAGGTGGAGAACCACTGGTATAGATTAAGGGAAAGCTAGAGGCCCACTGCAGTGGCACATCAACAATGGAGGGTCTTGTGTGTGTGTGTGTGTGTGAACATTTATATGTATTCACACATTTATCTTATATGTGTGAGTATACACTTATTTTGGTAGCCCCTACTAAAGAAGGGTAGTCAGTCTCCTGTCTTAACAAAAATTTGAGGTGGTCAGTTATGAGGAAGAGAGGGCCAGTTCTGTTCATGATCACAGAGGCTCTCTTGCCATTATCAATGTAGCCCAGCCCCTTGCTTTTAAGCCAGAGGCAAGTAGGAATTTTACAGCAGTAACTTGGGTTTGACGGAAGCACACACTTTATACTCAGGAAGCAAAGGAAGGAAGATCAGGATTCCATAGCTTCCTTGGAGGGCACAACTTCAAATGACACAAAAATCTACTACATCACATTCTACCACTTAATATCTCTACTGTCCTATATATATGCCGTTGTGGAGAACAAGCTTTTATCACAAGGACCTTGTGGGGAGATTCCAAACCTAAAACATGGTGGCTGCTATTGTGAACTTTTGAAGATGAGAAAACTGAGGGCTGAGGCCATGTGATCCTTGTCTTCAAGAAAGTCTGGCGCCGAGGACTGCTGGACACCACACTTGAGTATGGGGAGCATCTGGCGCTAAGCTCCCGGGTGTCTTCACCAGATTCCATTCTGTGCCTACTACACTACTGTGCAATGCTCCAAAAGGATAATTTACAAAAACAAATGAGTTTCTGAGAAACAAACACATTACTTTTGCTGTCTATGTTAGGGAAGCAAGCTGTTTGGAGTATTTCAAACTAAAGAGCATACTTTTAGAATTTAATGCATCATGTGATACTAGCATTAAAACATCATAACTGCACTGGTTATCAGCATTGGTAGACTTTCATTGGTAACCAGCAACTTGAGCATGGGTGAAGGGTCCAGGCCAGCAAGATATTTTTCCCTTAGACTTGGGGAAGCAGGGATATAATG